TTGGAGAAATATTTTCCTTTTACATCGGCTAAAGACTATTAAATGTGATGAAATTTCGATAAATTAAATACCCCCTTGATATTTATACTAATTAAAGGCAGATCCTTGGAGAATTTAAAATCTCATTTTTTTTTTTTTTGTAAAACAGAAACACCATTTACCGAAAAGCTTCTCTGAATAAGTAAAATAAAAAAAAATGCATAAAAGTAAGACATTATTTAATTAGAAAAGTACTGTTTATATGAATAAGGACACTATCAATTAAAAAAATGATGGATAATAAATTTTTACAAGAATTGTTTTCATTGTTTCTTAAATTTTAATTAGAATAATTTATAAAGTTTCAATCTTTTGAATTTCTGCATTACTTTGATCCCGTTAGGTGATATTGTTATTAAGTAAAAACTAGAAAAGCTTAATACGAATTATCAAACACCACTATTTGAATTTTTTATGTGTATAAACGTCCAGATTTTCGTTAATACGACATTATCAGAAAAAAAAAGAGAGAGAACTATAGTAAATTTAAAGCCAAAGTATCTAAAATTCAATAAAACATTAGATTACTTAGAATATTTTATTAAGTTTTAAGAATATTGAATACATAAAGATTACATAAAAGGCACTCACATTATATTCTTCAATTATTTTTTACATATATAGTCACCGTAGAAAAACATTAGATAAACATCTATCTGTAATCAAGCAGTCAATACATCAACAGCTTAAACAGCTACCGCCGTGTTAAAAAAATGCATTTCTGCGATATTTTAAACGAAAAGTAAATAATATCTGTTTCAAATCAGATTAATTATTAGCTAATATTCTTCAAATAAACTTTCAGAAAAGTATATTTTATTACATTGTAATGAACAAAGGATAAAATGGCGCACTAAACATTTTTTTAGTCATTTTAAATTAGTTTTAAAATAAAGCCAAATATTTTGCTTATTGGAAATATTAAATTTAATTTATTAGCTTCGAATTAAAACTAAAATAAAAGCTTCAAGAAAGATTTTCCATTTTTAAAAATTAATATATTTCTCTCTCTATCTATCTATCTATCTATCTATCTATCTATCTATCTATCTCTATATAGGTGTGTGTGTGTAAAGAAGTGTTGGATATTTTATTATTTTATTTATTATTAATGTATACCCATATTTGAGTAGACGATGCATTTATTTATTATACAGTAGATCTATTTATTTTCGTTTACCGGCTTGAATATTCGTGAAATATTATTAAAGGAAAATATTCGTTCTCTGGTAGGATTCGAACGTGCGTCCCCTTTTGATAGGGGGAAAAAACCATCGTTATATCCAATGTGCTTTGCCCGCTAAAGACCAATCAAACTTCTTAAATAGGCACAAATCGGCTCCAAAATTGAATAAAAAATTGAAAACTATGTAGCATAACTTACTTTCCCCATTGATTAAAATATCACAAAATGTATCTCGTTAAGACACGACTGTTCACAAACTTTATCTTGGTGTGTTTTCAGACCACCAAATATGAGCCTCTTTTTTAAATATACATTTTCAAAACCAAATTTTATACATGTATAGCTTTTATAAACCGCCAGGCTTCATTTTAGCATTTTTCATTACAACATAGGAATACGATTTTATTTTTATGCATGTAATATTTAACCGTCTGGCTTTATTTTTATATTACCTTTTAAATTTTATATAATTTTACATTACTTTTTTTTTTATCTGTCTATATATCTGAGATGAGGTATTATGATTATTTACATTATTCGGACTGTTAGCATCATCTTCATTGCCATATTCACAATATTTCAGCCGTCGTACGCTACAGCCTTTTTCAGGTGATTGGAATGTCTAAGCGAACCCTACAGCAGTGGTGAACCAAAACTTGGAGATTTGAGTTAAGGGAAAATGGCAGACACCAGGAAGAGGCATGGCACGAGGAACTAGAACAATCTACTCCTGTGAACGAAATAAAGGGTTCGGTTCGAAATTCCAATCACTTGAAGAAGGCTGGAGCGTACAACGGCCGAAACGTTGTGAATATGGCAATGAAGATGATGCTAAATGTCTGAATAATGTAAATAATGTAAGTACTTTTTTTTATTATTATTTAAATTTTTATACTCTCCCCTCAAAAGAACATGCAAAAAACTTAATCTATTGCATTATTTACCTTTTAAAATATTTTTATATAATTTTACATTTCATTTTTTATTACATCATACTTATTATGAAACCCAGGTTGTGTGTGTGTGTGTACGTTTATATATTGGATCGGATTTCCTACATTTTTCAACCGATTTCAACAAAACTTCACAGGACTATGTAAAATTACCTTGCGGTGGTTCTGACAGCGCCAAAAATGGGAAAAACACAATTGTTTTTGCACGAAATCAATTTGAAAACACGATTAAGAGGCATCGCGAGAATGAAAGGGGGAAAACCTTATATCGAGTTATACTTATTATAAAACCCAGGTTGTTTGTGTGTGTGTGTGTTCGTTTATATAGGGATCGGATTTCCTACATTTTTCAACTGATTTCAACAAAACTTCACTTTTTTTTTTGGCAGGTAGTGTTTCTTATTGTCTTGCACACTTTTTTCTTTATTTTTCCATTCAGAATGCTTTAAAAATTCCATTTACAAGATAATTGTTTATAATAAAATTCTATTCAATCGGTAGACTCATAACGATTGAAAACAATGTTTTTGTTTGAATTTGGGTTTGATCAATTCTTAAAAAAACCCCTAAAAAACAAAAAACAAAAAAACTAATTAAGACATGCGTGTCCGTTAACCTTAAACAATAATCTTTGTCAATTTTATTTTTCAGTCTTTATGATGGTCGATACTTGATCTATCTCTTACTGTTACATCCCCGGGCAACGCCGGGCTCTACTGCTAGTAATTTTATAATGCTTCAAGTAAAAATCTGTTATTGCTTCGTTTCTGTTGTAATAGATTGTTTTGTCGGTGTTGCTATTCTAACAAGTATTGTATTTCTATTTTTAGATATGATGTTGTATTGAGTTGAATTAAGCCTGGAAGTACATAGCTTCTCTTCTTTTTTTTTTTGTAAATGTATATGGAAATACATTCGTATTTCCTTTCCATGAATCATCTAACTTGAAAAAGAACTTCAACAAGTTTCATTTTGACATTGTTTATTCGATCGTTTGCTTTTGTTTCATAAATCATGCACAAAGGTTTCTCATGCCACCGCCACACTAAATCTTCTTATTCTCATAAAAGAAAAGATTGATTCATTTTTCATAGCGCTGAATCCTAATAAATTTGGTAATAAAAAGATACTTAATGACTTCTTTCGTTTATTTGTCATTAACCACTAAAATAAAGCTGTTTCTGGATCGAGTCGATGCCTGTGTTATGGTTTAGAATGATGATGATATTTCATCATTCTAAAAATAACCTTGCCATCAGTGATGATAGAAAAGAAGGATATTTAATCATCCTAACCCTCATCATTATAAAAACGACCGTTCCACCACAAGAAAGTCAATAGAGTAGAGTAGACTACGGTACATGTAGCAGTTGTCAGTGGTGAGTAAAGTAGCAGTACAGAAACAGATATCTGGCCAGTGCTCCGTGAAGATCGAAAACAGGCAATTTCAAACGCTATCCTCACAAACGAAATTCTTGGAACCAAACCAAGTAAGCACTGACGTTTAAACAAAAGAGACACTGAGAATAAATATAGAATAAATATTCTGCAATTAATATCACAAAAGAAATATAAATTGTTATTTATGTCAACACGTGTCTCAAGTTTTTTTTTTATTGTTGTTATTATTGTACGTTTTATGCATTTTAATTTCCTTCAGTAATAGTACCAACCCCCGTTACACATGCATACATCAAGCAAATTTCAAGCTTTGTTTTCAAATTAAGGTTCACCGGGAAGAAATCGAAATAAATGCAAACATACAGCGTATGAAAGATATCGTAGCGTAGAGGAATCTGCAGTTTTGAAAATTTGTCCAAATAAGTATTTCTGTGTTGTTTAAGGGGAAAACGTTGCACTTCCTTCTCGTTATGTTCTGTGTGCATTTTGGTTTGAGAATCGATCAAATTATTTGGCGAAACTTTATTTTTAAATAATCATCAAAACAATGGAATTCTTTTTAGTTTTTAAAAATCAAAAGTTGGTTATTTTCTCCAGATAATATTTCATTTCAATATTCCCACCAAAATCGAAGGAATCATTTTTAATATTTTATTTAATGCCTCTGTCCGCCGCAATTTTATTCAAGAAAACTTTACAAAATAAAAAAAAATAAAATAAATTATTATAAAATAAATAAAAAACTAAAAGTACTTTCATCATTTTTCAAGGTAAAGGCTATTACAGAACACACTGACTAAAAAAAAATCTAATTTATTAAATCTTTAAAACGGTGAAGTAAATTCCTAGTAAGTAACTAAAATAAAAAACTATCATTATTTATCCAGAAACAAGAATTTCGTGGATTTAAAAATAACCTGAATCTAAAATTCTCGTTAAATGCTGTGTGTGTAGTCGACTTTTTGAGTTTTATCCATTTTCATTGATATTTTTTTTTGGTGAAATGAAAATTAGAAATGAAGGTGTAAAATTACATCTGTGAAAATATTCGTGTACTGTAATTATTAGAAAATTTTAGTTTATATTTTTCAGGTTTCCTTGACGATACCTTTGGAAGAAAACTTTGAGAGAGAAAGAAAGAAAAAAAGAAAACAGCAATAATGTAGAGTTATCTCCCTTTACGCCATTTTCGCCTGGTGGCCACCGTGTGGCGCTCACTGATACGAAACAAGCTTACGCAATATGGCGATGTTGTTGGCTTTCAGACAGTCCTAAGCCGGCTGCGCTGATGATCATCACAACATTTATTTAGTTTTAAAGGACACAAATAAAAACATTGCCCCATGCACAAAGCTGGGCTTTAACAGATATTTGAATCAGAACTAATTTGTACATATGAACCATATACATTTATTGCTACGATGGAGAATTTAGAGGATTTATTTGCCGATTCCTGTCACTTTGATGCGGAAAGGCTTTCTTCTTCACATTCACAAAATAAACAAACAGTTTCATCGCCGACGATGACAGCTTCTTTGCCTCCCGAGGTTTGTTTATTTAATTCATTTTATTTCCCTAGTAAAGAAATATATTTTTGATTCTCTAAATTGTTGAACATCAATGAAACCTGTTAGATTGTTGCATCATTACAGAAAGAAAAATGCTTTGTTTTTATTTTGGTGTGCGTGAAGAAATCTGATTGTTTATAAAATCTTTTTTCGATTTTAGTTAAAAAAAGAGATTTTTTTCTTTCTTTGGAGATTATTTTTTTTTTCTCTTTATATTTAAAAATTAAAAACATCGTCATGATTCACATATATTTAAATTTAAATTTAAAATTATGTTCTGCTTGTATTTTTGTTTTTTACGTTAAAAATATCGTCTGAATATTTTTGGCAGTTATCTTTGTTTTTAGTTTTCTTTTGTATTTTTCACATTTTAGGACTAAGGACTTTTATTAAAAAAATTGCAATGAATTAATTGTTTTATTTGAATTGAAGAAAAAAATGTTTTCCTTTAGTTTCCTTTTTTAAGATCGTTCAGATTTCAAGTTTAAAAAAAAACAAACTATTTTTTCTTCATTTAGAAATTACTTGAAAAAAAATAAATAAATAAAGATGTTTCTGTTTTTACTTTTTATTTTATTTAACATTTTTTGTTTGACTTTTAAAAAAATTAAAGTTTCAGATATTTTTTAAAATAATCAGCGATTTTTTTAAATTATAAAAATAAAATATTTACAATTAAAAATTTATTAAATTTACAAGTTGTATTCATCATTTGAATGTATTTGAATTTGTTGAATGAATATTAAGATAAAAAGTTAAGAATACATTTTTTTTTAGATTTTAAATTATTTTATTTAAATTTTTGAATTTTAAAATTTTGTTAAAAAAATCACTTATATTTTGGTTCGGTTATGTTTATAAAAAGCAAAATAAAAATAAATTGCAAAGAAAACGAATCAAAAATAAAATATAAAATAATTACATTTTTTTCAGAAACCAAAACAAAAACAAAAACAAAAAAATGGATTTCTTAAAGAAAGTCGATCGTTTTTCTTTTAAAACTAAAAGTATTTTCGATGAAAAGTGAAAAGTGAAAAGTCCTTTTCTTTAGTTTTAAAAACTAATCGAGTTACAGAAATTTAGAAAATTATTTTTGTTTAGTTTTAGTTTCTGAAGAAATTCATATTTAAATTCTTTTAAAATCGTTTCTCAAAAATGAATCACTTGTGAAAAAAAAAATTGAATTCAGTTGTGATTATTGATTTTTATGTTAATTTTACACCTGATCGAATAATCAAGATCACTGAGTATCAATTTGTTTACCCCCCCCCCCAAATATATAAAGCAAAACAAACAAAATAAATTTACTATTTATTTATTATTTTGAAAAATTAATCAAGTTAATTTGTTCGGATCCGCCTGTAAATTACCTGATTGATGGAACCAACATTAAAAAATATTTAGTCTCTCTACATATTTTATTTTTATTTTTCAATTTTGAACATTTTTGTGTCGTTATTGATTTAAATTTTATTTAATAATAAGATTTAAAATTGACATTAACATTTCATAAATTCCTTATCGATGTTGTTTTAAAAATTTCCCATAACAATTTCTCATCTTTGTTTTGTTTTTGCAATAAATACATATAGTCATTTTTTTATTGATATTTTAAAAATATATGTACAGGTTTCGTTTTTAGTTGATGACTTGTTCATTTCTGGATTCCGTTTAAGAAACCATAAAAACAGAACCTAAAAAAAAAGATATTTAAAAAAAAAAAAAAAAAACAGCATTAAAAAAAAATGACTTCTCATGAGTGAATGACTAAAACAAAGATAAAAAAATTTTAAAATATCATCGATAAGGAATTTTTAATTTATTTACCAAATGTTATTTTTTTTTATTTGTAAAAAGAAAAAGAAAGAAAGAAAAAAGGGTGAATTAGTCATCGACAAGATTTGAATTTGTATGGAGTCGTAGCGTAGAGTGTTATGATTTTTAGATAAAAACTAACAAGAATTAATTTTCTGACTAGAGTTTTTCTTTCTGTTCCAACTTTCATATTTGAAATAAAAATGATCTAAATATCGATTAGCTGTTCGATAATAACTTGTCAAGTTCGACAAATAAATAGTTTTTTGAGAATATTCATTATCCTCTTTTTGTGTGTAAAAAAAACAAACAAAGAAAACAATGGACAATCAATTTTCGTTTATTGAAGTTTTGAACCCCTTTCTTCTTGTCACAAAAAGATAACTTCAACAGACACTCAGTAAGGACCGAATTCACTTGATAATCTTTCTAAATAGCTCGGCATTCTAGGTATCCAACATCACAATATGAATATTACTTTTTCGTTTTCCGAAAAAAATAAAAATAAAAGATTTTTTAAATGCTCACCTGAACTTTACACACATTTTTTTTTTAAGTGAACAAGTGATTTTGTTGAGTTGTTGAAAGAAACTTTACTTTACGCATACTAATTATTCAAATTGTTTCACTCTCACACTATTTGCGGGAAAAAAAGTGACATTTTTAACAGGTGTGTGGTCATTTGTTTACTACGAGGAGAGGAAAAAAAAGGAAATTATAGAAAAAGAAATAGGAAGGTGCACTGAAAAGTCGTCCTCTACCACCACAAAGGAACCTTAAAAAAGAAAAAAAAATCTTGTTTGATCAGACTTTCGGAAATAAGTCGCAATCGAAAGTTTTGGGGTGATAGAACTAATTTCAACGCGGAACCTAAATCAAAACTCAAAAGAGTAATTTGCAGTTCAAGCCCTGCGCTCAGTTTCTAACAAAAAATTCCCGAATAGTTCCATTTAATAAAATTCGAAAATAAGAGTTAGGACTCATTCGCGAAATTAATTCTGCACCTCAAGTTTTACAGCACCCCCTTCGTACAATACTTCAGAAATATGGTACTAAGTATCGACACTAGGCACCGTTTTAAAACCACCAGGTAAATTTATTCCTCCCCACCATACACTGCCTGAAAAAGTATGAACAAATGTTGTGTAAGAATACATGAGGTCAATTAGGTACAGATATGTGTGTGTATGTTACTGTTAAAAGTACATCTGGTGATTTTTTTTCAGCTTGGAAATTGACAACTAAAAAAGTGAATTTAATACTAATGTTAATAAACTAACTGCTGTGACATTGGCAACACGTTGTGTGGAAAAGTGAATTTTTCTATTTCATTAACTAATCTCTGACTTTTGAGTTTGATTCTATTTTTTTTTTTTTTTTAATACTAATATTCACTTTATACAAGACCCAAGAGCCACTCAAGGTAGAGGGTTACTGAAGGAGGTAGTTGTATAAAGAGTAAGAGGTCAGAAGCATAGTTTATAAGCATAAGATAACTATTAAGTTAATGTATTAACCCTAGACTTGAAGATCTGTAATCTAAATTTGTTGTTTTCATGGTGTAGGATAATTGTGTTGTCGATTAGTCAACTATCCTATACCATGAAAACAACAAATTTATATTACAGAGACTAGAAGCAATTTATATTAAAAAATTAAAGCCGGCACTGTACAGAATCAACTATGAATACTGCAGTAATGTTCTGAAATGCCTGTAAAAGAGCAATTTTTTCATACTTTAATGTGTGTATGATGATGATGATGATATTATAACATAGAGAGAAAAAATTCTATAATGGATAATTTTTTCATGTTCTAATGAATGTTCAGCACATTATCAACTGTTTTGCATAATGAAAAAAATTACAGTAATGGATAACAACGTACATCTTTGTATAAATATTTATACTAATGAACAACATATATTTTTGTACCATTTCCACCCCTGAAGATGATCTTGGAAGAAGATCGAAAGTACTTGGGAAATGAAAATAAAAAAAATTTAAACAGCTCTAGCACATTGCTATCATCCTTTAACATCAATACATGGAAGGTTATTCGTGAATATGAATGAATTTTGTTAAAAATTAGCAGACATAATGTCTGTAATTTATTCATTCAGACATGGCTAAAAAAATTTGCTGCCTAAACGCAGAAATATATATATATATATATATATATATATATATATATGATTATATATATATATATGATAGTGTGTACTCGATTTTCACCATGATCCGTTCCTTAAATTAAGCATTGTAAATGCGACATACAGGTTAAGTGTTATCCCTGGGTACAGCTTGCCATAGAATGTTTCTGCCATGGAAACAAAGGTATTTAAAGGCACACAGAGGGCATGTTAGTTTTAGCTGCTGGATAATTTCAGCCAATCTCACTTGTCAATTTGGGCTATGATACTTCATATGTTTAACAAAAACTGCTCTGGAAAGAAGAACCCAATTACACAGTGGACATATATATATATATATATATATATATATATATATATATATATATATATACATATATTGGTGTAGATGGAATAAATTCCAATAAGCAAAAAATACTATTCTTAAAAGAGTTCTCATTACAGAGTAGAAGATATATTATTTATTCAAAAATTATAACCGAAACATGTTATAACATCACTACAAAATGGCCATTTTGTTTCAACACTTCTGGTGTCTTATCAAGTGTTGGTGTTGAATATAGAATATAGTTATAATTTTTAAATAAATTTTATATATATATATATATATATATATATATATATATATATATTTTTTATTATAAGAGATTATAATAAAAACATGATTTCAACATGTTTTTTATTATAATTTCTTATAATAAAAATAAAATAATATATTGCTCTTCTTTTGTATTGAGCACTTTTTTAAAAAAAGTAAATGCTACAAACAGTGGAATTTTACTCTATCTGTTTTTTTCTCTCATTTGGAGATCTATCTATCTATCTATCTATCTATCTATCTATCTATCTATCTATATATATATATATATATATATATATATATATATATATATATATATATATATATATATATATATATATATATATATATATATATATATATATATATATATATATATAAATATAAAATTATCTACCACCTTCATGCAACCAAATGTTTGATATGTGGCAA